TCGAATACGTACAAACGACGTATGATAGGCATCGATAGCTTTCGTGGCACCGGAAACCGAGAGAACTCGCCTCTGTTCGTCGAATTACGAAAAAGGGGGTCACGAAAATGTTTTACGAGCGTTTAAGGTGTCTCTCGTCGGGGTCGACGTCAATGGGACCGTGACGTCGTGCCGGAATCACGCACGACGGTCGTGACATTGTGAGAATGATTATATGAAGAGAGAGAGAGAGAGAGAGAGAGAGAGAGAGAGAGAGAGAGAGAATTGGAATACATTTCGGTTAAACGCGTCCAATTCGGTCTACCGTCGTCATAAGAGAAGAGAGCATCTAATGTATGCACATGTATACCCGAGAGAGAGAGAGAGAGAGAGAGAAAGAGTTAGTATCCAACCTGAGAGATAAAATAAAATTTCCGAGGTTGTTTCTGTTTGAAGAATGCGAATTTTTAACTGACGGTAAGAGACTCGTTGCGGTTAACGACTCAACGATGGGAATAGACAATCGAAGCGTGAGAAATTATACGTTTTTCAAGTTGAGTTCGAGAAGCTGATATTAATAAGCGTGACCTCGGGGCGTAAGCTTCCCTTGACCTCCTTGAAAAACGACCCTGAGTCCCACCGCCCCACAACGTGACGATCGAGGGTCGTGTCATATACTCTCTCTAATAGGTCGCCACTCTTTCCTATTTCCTTTCATCGCGTGCGCGGTTTCCCGCTGTTATTACTGTTACTAAAGTCTCCGCGGCGACTGTGTTGATGCCATTGTGGGTAGAAGACAAGCTGTAATATACAATAAGGCACGATTGGGTGCGAACGATACCATAAATTTGCAGCTCTGAACGCGGAATGCTTCATCGCCAGCGCGAAATTTCGAAATGCTCTCGCGCGTCTCGTCTTTCTTCTTTCTTTAACGCTTCGGGAGTTAACGTAAGGGAGAGAGAAACGAACGAAAAAAAACCAAAAGGAGAATTTTCCGACCGGGGCAGGAAAAGGCTTCACCGGCGTCGCAAAGGAAAGATAAGGGAAGTGGATTACGTTGTAAGTTTCAGTCGTTGTTCCAGTTCGGGCGGACGCTAATATTGTGTAGAAAGTACCGGGGGCAGTTAGCTAGCTGGTTCTCTCGCTCGCTTGCTGTACTGACAGAGCTCAGCGAAGGGTGGAGGTGGTCCCGAAGCAACGAGAGATCGCGGGGGCGGTAAACGATGGTAAAACCGAGAGGGAAGGAAAAGACAAAAGCGACCGACTAGTAATGTCGGAGAAGTGATTGTGTTAGAAAGAGCGAGAGAAAAACAGAAAAGCAAACAGAGACAGGGGATAAGGTTGGACAGGGAGGAAGGGAGGAAAAGAAAGAGAGAGAGAGAGAGGGGGGGGAGAGAGAGAGAGAGAGAGAGCCAGCAGCAGCAGCGGCGGAGGGTTCAGACGAGGTCAGGTCACGGGAGACGAGAGACGAGCCGAGTCGAGCCGAGTCGAGTCGCCCGTTCGGTCGATAGAACGGAGAGCTACCACCTATATGCCACGCGGCGATGCAATGGTAGTGGTAGCTAGTGATGGTGGTGGTACCACCACCACATCATATAGAGGTACACCATGAGGGCTAATGAGAGCGAATGTATGTGTACACTCGCTGTCTCTCTCGCTCTCTCTCTCTCTCTCTCTCTCTCTCTCTCTCTCTCTCTCTCTCTCTCTCTCTCTCTCTCTCTCTCTCTCTCTCTCTCTCTCTCTCTCTCTCTCTCTCTCTCTCTCTCTCTCTCTTTCTCTCTCTCTCTCTCTCTCTCTCTCTCTCTCTCTCTCTCTCTCTCTCTCTCTGTCTCTCTCTCTCTCTTTCTCCCCCTCTCAGTCTCTTTCTCCTTACTTTCGTTCGCTCGGTAGCGGGCTCGGGAACAGGCGAACTAACTTGTCGCTCCAACGAGTGCTCGGCGATTTCTTGGCACGCCGGGGGGAACTCGAGCGATGATGTTCCGCGACTCGTTGTCGACGTGCTGAACGATGTCTGATTAATGCAGCCGGCTCTGACGGATGGGAGATGTAAGTGTGTACGTACAAGTAACAGCCAAGTTTTCTTTGATTAGCAAACCATGCTAATAATGAGTCGTCGAGTTACATATTATATATATCATGCTTTATAAATTACACTTCAAATGTACACAGATGGGAACTTGACAAGGAGAAATGCTATCTTTGTCATCGCGATCGAAAACATTCATCTGGACATATTCGATTGCGTTAAAATTAGATAACTGAGAACTGAGTTCATCCTGCAGGTATCTTTCTATTGCTATAACTGAGTGTTTTCATTCTTACTCTCACATTTAGTCAGGACAGCAGAAAATTCCGAGTAACGAGAAATGATGCCTTTGTCACCGTGAGCGGCAGCAAAGGCATCATTTATTTGAAAATTTAATTTATTTCATTAGAAAATTCAACTTTAAGATTCGTCTAGATAATCAAGAGCGATTGTCTGATGAAACTCCTTATATACGGAATCTTATTCCTTTATTCTTATAACCGAGTTTTCGTTTGATCCTCAGACAACAAAGGCAAATTCAGTTGCACTAACAGAGTTATTTTTTTTATCCGCACATGTACACGTGTTATACGTACGGAGTCGAGAAAAATTCCGAGTCGCACATTAAGACGTGTATCATCGAGCACTACGTGCCGCGACAGGCGTTCCAGAAAGAGTCGACACGGAACAGATGTCGGCTGTAAATTGAAACGTTAATCGACGAGGGCCGCGCGCAATCGAAGGCGCGTGTGTGTATGTCGTGTGTTGTATCAGCGATATGCGTCGATCGCGCGCGCGCGTGCGACAGAGATCGTAAGTGCGAGTAATCGTAAGCGAACAGAAAATGATGCGTAGTAAATCTACCCACGCATTATTTTAAATATTGTATTATTTGATCGACCGCGATTTGAAATCGCGATGATACATCGGTGTCTCACATCAGCACCGATCCGTCGTTATCGTCGTGGACTCAGGATCGACGACGAGTTATCCGTTTAAATAGATGCTCGTAAACGCGCGCGCACGCACGCTCACCGCAGCCGCCGACGACTAAATGTCAAACGAAGCGGTTAAAGAGAGATCGCTGACTGAGCGAGACAAAGTAGTGGCGAATGCTGTCGCGGCTACTATTATGCAGGTCGTTTATGCATTTCTGCGAGATTGCGTGGCTTTTTCTTTCTTCTTCCTCCACCTTCTCTCTCTCCCTCTCTCTCTCTCTCTCTCCTCTCTCTCTCTCTCTCTCTCTCTCTCTCTTTCGACGCAATCGACGCGAGATTATCGGTACATCATTGATACACTATCGTTATACGACCTGCGTTATACTTTTCGACTTGTTCCATGCGACACTTCGCATACAAGCAGGTTCATATTCGGCTGATTGTCGTTTTTTACACGTCGCGTCGTCTCCCTCGCAATCGTCCTTCCTCTTCAATTCTCGAAAGTTCTTGTGTTCTGTTCGATGTTTGCTCGCTCGCGTTAATTGAAATTCTTCGCGATTTATATTGTTTGTTATATTTATGTTATCATTATGTTGCAGCCGTGACTGCGGCAATGTTGCAAGCATAGCTAACAGTTATTGGTGAGTCGTGTCGATAATTGTTTACTCGATAAATGCACGGCTACATTCGCTTTCGCCCGAACGAAGA